GTTAGAGCTGTACTGATTAACTCCCGTGTGATAGCATTGTTTTCGTTGCTCATGAATGAGAGTAGCGAACGGTTAATGGATGCACTGCACTCTCTAGTTTAGAATACTTTCGGAGCACATATTAAGTAACACTTTGAATGATTTAGATGCAATTTACACTTTACTAGACGGACGACACACTGCGCAGATACTGAGGTTCGACCTAGTCTGGTCTGGCCTAACTCGGCGTTGGACGAGAGTAGCTGCTGACATCGGAGCGACTGCTCTGGCGGGCGAGGAGAAGACAGCCTGGCGTTGTCCAGCGTTGCAAACCCTAGAGTGTAAATTTTTTTAGAAAATGGTAATTTTTTATTTTAGCATAATACAACATAAACTGATGAGAATTCCCTCTAGAAAAGTAAATATTGTTTAAGTGAGTGCACAAGAAAATATAATGACAATGAAAGAGGGTGGTTGAAGTCCACCTGTTCCATATTGTGATGCAACGCTATCTCCATTTCATGGGGCCCGCGACCGCGTAGGGAAGAACACCAACGGCCGCACGCTTCCCTCATCGTACGGTCGACACAACGCGGCTTTCTCTTGATCGCTCTGCATCTACGCACGACGATGAAGCCGGGATGGGAAAAGCGAATGGATACGTAGTGCCATCCATAAATTACGTGAGGCCTTTAGAGGCAGAAAGAGGTCAAGCCAATCCCACCTAATATACGTGGGGGAAAGGGAGGTCTCGGCAAATATCACTTTTTTTCGCTAAAATCTAAATTAAGAGAAAACTGAGTCAAGTTAAGTAAAATACGTTTCTATACTAAAATATGGCTAAATGTTGCACAATAGTTTTTATAGCGGTTATGTGTATAATATAATAAGAAGCTAAGTACTATACCGAGAAAAATATTCTAACAAAAATTACAACTTTTACATCATTAATGAAATAAATCTCATTACTTGTATTTTTACAGAATTATAAACAAAAATTGCCGAGCGTTTGGTAAAAAGAACCCAAGTTTTGGTAAAATTTACATAAACTTTGGTAATATTTTTTCAAAATTTCTGAAAAAAATAGATTGTGGAATTTTTTTTTCGGTTTCTAAAAAGTTTGAAAATATTTGCTTGACGTTTACTCTGAGAGAAAAAGTCGGCAGCCAAATGCGCGACTCGACGAACGAATTTTGAGAAATCTCATGTGAGAAGACAAAAAGGGGAAAGCGGCCTAGCCAAATCTCACGTCATCTCACTAAGGGGAATGGGAAGTCGAAAAATCGCCAAAATCACCTCACGTAATTTATGGACCCGTATTTGTCTAGATCTTTGTTGAGAACAGCTTCTTTCAATGTTTGGCACAAACAATGCGGTTACAGAAACGGCCACTGCGGCGCAGCCAAAGGTGAGCCAGTCTGTTGTTCCCATCGATTGGCTTTTTCGTGTTTCTTTGTCAAATTATCAGAAAATATTTATTCCATTTTCCACCGGTTAGTTATGAGAACGTGCATTTGTATGTGTATTTGAATGTCACACAACAAAACACATTTTCATTTTGCTGAGATTTTGAAATTTCATACAAATTAAAAGGGTTTTAAATGTTTCACACAAACGATAACCAAAAACTTCAAACAAATTTTTTTAAAAATTAATTAAGATCTTTAATTTATTAATTAAGAGCTCTTTCATAATTATCGTCCATACTCTCGTTCCGAATAGTACTGCAATGACTATGAAATTCTTATGGGTAATTCATGTACAATGAATGTGCATATTGTAGAATGTTGGGGGCCACCGCTGATGTGGACAATTCACCGGCCACTTCTCGGACCGGGGTTCAATTCCGGTCCATTCACTTGGAACTTGTGCGGTCAAGGAGTGTTCGCAGCAGTTTTTCTTGGGGTACTCTTTGCCTCTCATTCCACCATTGCTCCACTTCATTAATACAGACCAACTTGCGTGTCAGGTCACATTCACGATTAATATTAATTACAGAGGTATTCCGATTGTGGTTATGTTGTAATAAGTCATATATGAGTGCATGGAATAAATAGATGACTAGTTATTCTGCCAGTGAGCTCACGTCACGATCCTCCACCCTCATGTGTTCTGTCCATTTGCGACGCCAACCGCGCGTCCATTTGCGAAGTCGCTTTCGTCAGCAATCCTAAAGGCGAGTGCGTGACGAGAGTTCCGAGGAGGCAACCGTTAGCGATTCAAGGCCAAGCGGAGGGCCTTCCGATTGCCAGCGCCAATGAGCAGTACGATATTGGCTCCGAAAGCCAGTCAATAAACGTCGTTCGAATATTCAATAAGAAAAATCCATACGCCCTTGATACTACATCTCCTAGCCGCAATTGATATCACTGGTTTTATATGTGGAGGTGATGAATGAGTACATTAAAAAAATATTTCCTTGACTTCATGAATACTGATTGCTGATATTTAAAGAAACAAACAAAACTTCTACTTAAATCTTATTTCATTTTCTCTTCAATTCTTTTATTTTCTCTCTCCTCCTTCTTCCCTATTCTTTATCTCTTCTCTCGCTTTCTCTTCTTTCTTTTGTTTCTTGCCTTTCTTTTTCTTTTCTTTTCTTATCTTCTCTTCCTCATTCTTCTTCCGTCTTATCTGATCAAGAATTTATACTATTAATTACTATTACTTTCTAGACAGTTATGAACAGATCCAGATGATTAAATTGAATTCGTTTTGGCATTTTTTGCCTACCATTTCACAATTTCAAGGCAGAAACTTTAAAGTCTTTCCAGAATGTCAACGAATAAAACGGACATGGTAGCCGTTTTTGTGATTAAAGTAGACTTATTTTCCCCTAATTTTTGTCTGAACAGACATCTAAAGCTTTAACATACGTAACGAATTAATAGATACTGACTGTGAATATGCACAAATTGTACCATTGCAAGAAAAGTCTGTCAAGAACATTTCCTCTGACTGTTGCCTTATCCCACAGCGGAAATCGCTGACGTTGCGCATTCTCTTTGACTTTTAGTGAAAGCGGTTAGAAGAGTTAGATTGCATAGGGATCAAAGTTCCTCTTTGAATTATTCTACCTGTGCGACACTTCTTAAAATGCCTATTGCTCTCCGGTCTTTGCGACTTGTAATTCATAAATTCCGTGGGCAACTCACTCGCTATCTGACCCTTGATTTACAACTTACGGAGCAAATTACGAAGTCCAGAGTCACTGAACATGCAATATGGAAGGCGATAAAAGTCTGGGAGATTTAAAACTGTATTGTGTGTTGTGAACGCCATTAATTAAATATATGTAAAGAATATAAATACACTTTCGGATAGTTCATTATATATTATTTCTTCTGATGAAAAAAATTGCAATATACAATAACATAAATATCTTACACTCTAACTACTATACTTACCTACTAGTCTGAGTCTTACTCAAAGTTAGACACAGACGTATGAGAGAGAGAGAGAGAGAGAGGGGGGGGAGGAGGGAGAGAGAGAGGGAGAGAGAGAGTAGGGTCGGGTCTTGCAACTTGAAAAGCAAAACCGTGCGAAAGAGATTTAAACAATTCACGAAGTTATTTTTTTAGAATAAGTTTTGAAAATGATTAGTTAATTTACATGAATTATCAAATATATATGTCAATCTACAAAATTCAAAACACGATATTGTGAGATATGGAACTCCACACAGGAAAAATATCACAAAATTGAAGTGCTTAATATTCACTATATGTCTCGAATATATTGCCCGACCCAGCCGAAATCTGTTCCCCCTCTGATCTCGAAGTCGGCGACCTTTAGTCGGCGCACGGCAACGCCGTGCTGGGAAAGCGAAACAATGAATATATAACGAGCAATCGATGCGGGTTGCAATTTTCATTGGGGCGCTTCCGTGCATTTTGCGTGGATCTCTTTTATCTTGGTCCGATACTCGTACGCTGGCAGCGCCGGGGCACGCAGGGCCTAGGCGGCCGTCTCCATCTTGCATGAGACCTCACCGCGGCCCAAATGACGTCACTCTAGGGGGGGGGGCGAAGGAAGGAAGGCAAGCGCACCTTCGTGCGTCGCCACTGCGGTCGATACGGCCCCTTCGGCCGACGAGGGCTTTGACCCCCCCCCGGGGGGGGGCAGCGCTGCTGGAAAAGGGCAATGCAGAACTTTTCGCTTCGTCAGAGGGGATGGCATTTTTTAAAACACTGCGTACAGTCGGACCTCCATATATCAAAACTGGCGGTTTCTTCGATAATATTCGACTATTATACTAGGTTATTCGAATTGCAATTAGTGCGACCTGGGAACAGTTTCATACAATGGTTGAACAGTTCACAACACAATTACGAAAGCCATAAAAATACTAGTAATAAAAAGATTAAAAAATATAAAAATACGTGAAAACGTATTGATATGACAAAAAACAAAGATAGAGAGATAGTCCAGAAATGTGCATGTCTTGATTTGATAGAAAAGAACTTAGTTGGTTAAAAATTCGCTGCGTTTTTAGTCTCTCAGCTACTGCTGTATCTTTCACGACAGCAGGATGAGGAGGACGAAATGTGACAACAGACGTTCAAAGCTTTTAAAAAATAAGTTATTAAGATTCCTGACATTAATATCAACAAGCAAAAAGTGCTACAACAGATCGGCGACCAAGCCAAAGGACTTGTAAGATATTAAAAAAATACTTAAGCAATTAGAAGTAATTAAACTATCATAAAAATAATTAAAAATAATAAATCATTAAAATTCTTCATTATTTATATATAACTTAAATTAATTTTCACCTTAAATTAAGTAACTTAGCTATAAATTCAATGCTTAGAATATAAGACAATTATTGCTGTAGTTTGTACTATTGTGATATGATTTCCGTCGTACATAAAAAATGACTTACCTTTTATTTACTGAACTTGCAGAGTATATCATTTATTATAACGTAAAAAAAAGTTTGTTTGTGAACAGCTTTTGCTAATGCGCTGCTTTCATTAAATTCTCTTGAATATGTCTAATTCAACATATTTTATTTTCAGGCCATCGCAACAGGCATGTGGACCATTCTAGAAACGATACTTCTAGGAATATTCTTGTTGTATTCTACGGTGAGTTAGATGTCACGAGAAGTAATTTCTTACACACGTACAGCAATTTCCACTTACACCACTGATATTAACGAAACGTTAATTAGAGAATTGACACATACATGAATACTAAATTCACAAAACGTGTCGTACTTTATACTAAACTTTGTTCTAAATTAACGTTTTGAGTCGTAATAACTTCTTTGTAACCCTGTGAGCTTCCTATTTCTCGTAGGTGGTTGTGAGATTTTTCGAGCCGTCGGTGCTGCAATGCCTCATCGAGCCGTGGGTCAGGGAACTGGGGTTCGTCATTTGCTACGGCGCCATTATCCTCAAACTGTACAGGTAAGAGTTTCGTACAGGGTCTCGGAATTCTCCGCGACTTGTGGCACTTAGAGAAATGTACAATTTGTTTATATCGCAATTAATATTCGTTGAAGAGCAGACAAGCAGTTAACACTCAATAATCTAAAATCCTTTCCATTTTTTAATTACTCTGCAGATTATTATTATTATTATTATTATTATTATTATTATTATTATTATTATTATTATTATTATTACAATGATTATTATATTTTAAAATACATACCGGATTCTTTTTTCTTTCTCGTAATATACTTCGTAAGGATTCCTTCTTGATATTGATCTTATATGTCTAATATTTATATATCTCTCAATCATTTGCTTGGATCTACGTACTCTTTAAAATTGTAATCATAATACACTAGGGGTAGAGGCATACGTCATGACCATTTCTTGTGTTTTGTGAGAATACGAGCATGGGCGGAAAATGTGAAATATGCACATGAAATGAGTAGGGATGAACCAAGTGCTTGGACATCATTTTCTTACATTTATTAAGTTTTGTTCAAATGACAGTACTGTTTTCATGAACCAAAATATTTTAGTACATAGGAAATCATAACATTCCAAAAACATTTCATTCCCGTTCCAAAGAACTCAGTGCGTTGCTGAACAGTGGTTGCTACGCGTCACCGTGGAAACTCTCGTGCGCATTTCGCGGCTGAGCGGTATGGAAGGGCATCATTCCCAAGAGCTTCCCCAAATTCCCTGTGACATTCTTGGGCATTCTCCCATGGATAACGGCTATCTTGCTGAATGAGAGCTGCTCGAAACGGGTTACATTTATTTCGCACTGCGACAGTCAGACACCTGATTTCAAATTGCTTTCTGTGCAATTACAGACATTCAGAGAGTAATCTGTTGTTGTGAACACACATTAGTACAGCATTTATTTCACGCGACAAATAAAATTGTGAGATCCGATTACATATCTTTTAGAAAAAAAATGAGTTGCCATGACTTCTGTCCCAATCCTTGTAGTAATATTTTAGTAAACTGAATTCTGACAGGTATTATATTTCGGAATGGGACAGAACCTGGCCTTGAACCCAAACATACATAGGGCTGATTCTCAGCCCATATCTGAGCCTCACAGCTGTAGTCTCAGACCAGTTCTGTATTTGGATCTGAAGATGAACCTATACACGTGTCAGTATTTGGATGTGGAGCTGGGCCTCAAAGTGAAATGGGGCTGTGACCCGATCCGAATCTGGATCTGAGTTTGGGTTAGAGAGAGGGGAGAGGGGGTGGGTCTAGGAGTGAGTCAAGGTGTGCTTAGGGATGAGGGTCTGGGAGAGGGTGTGGGCGTGAGAGAAGTGATTGCCTGATGCGCCTCTTCGTCGCAGGATCCTGATCGAGTTCCGAACGCGCAAGGCGCACCGCTGGGTGGTGCGCGACAAGGACCTGCTCAAGTACCTGCTGGCCATGGTGATCATCGTGCTGGGCTACATGGCGGCGTGGACCGCCTCCAACCTTAACTTCATCCAGGAGAACTACAGCGTGCTGGCCGTGGGCCGCACGGCCGACGGAGCGCGCTTCCTAGTCTGCAAGGCGCTGTGGTGGGACTACGTCACGGAGACAGGTGGGCCCCCCTCACCTCTCCTCCCTCACTCTCCCACTTGTCTTCTTCATACCCTCTCACTCTCCTTCCCCAAGCTCCTTCATTCCCTTCCTTCCTCACTCTCACACGCACATTTCCACTCTAGAGGTGGATAATCTTAATGGCTCCCAACAACCGTGATTGTGGATTCAATGTCAGCCGATAGCCGTGAATTTGCGAACAGCACAGACCGACCCTCGATTGACCATGTTAGATGCGAAAGCTAATGAGGAAGAGACATAGTGGGAAGGAAGAGTACGAGAGGGAATAAACGAGAAAGAAAAAGAGGGAAATTCACTTTCGTATCTCTCTTTGCATCTATCGTTCCATCTTCCTTTTCTTTCATTTTCACTCTTCTTTCATCTTTCACCCTCTTTCGCTTTCTGTTCATCTCATTAGAGCCCAACGCTACCGTTATATTTTGACTCCCTTATTTCACAAGTCGCATTCATATTTATTCTCTTCTAGCGACGTTCCCTGATTTAGCGCATACAGTATAATCTAAGTGGGCGGGAAATGTCCGAGGATTTAGTTTTGTTACAAGCATAGCATGGCCCATTAAGGATCGTTCTGTGCTGTTCGAAAATCCACGGCCATCGGCTGAGATTGTATCCGCGATCACGGTTGTTAGGAGCCATTAAGATTACCCACTTCTCCAACTTCTAAGATCGTCTTATTTTGAAAATGTTCGGTGCATTGTAATTTTGATGATGAAGGATGATTAGTTAATTATTAGAAGAAAATGGAAAAGAATAATTATGCGTAATTAGTAAATATGTTTATTAAAGTAAGTTTAACATCACAGTCCAATTATTAATATATTACAAGGAAATGAAATTGTATGATATCGCTAAATAACCCGAAGTAACAAACGAATATCTTTTTAAAATGCAAATATTTTCAAGCTACAAAGAATATGCTACAATACGAGTATAACCTTTTTGTTGCGAAGAGAATAAGCTAGCTCTTTAGTCAAACAAATGTCAGCACTTGACAAGATTCAGTTGCTTCTTTGGAAAGTTGTATAATTTTCCTCACATCACACACGAGAAAGCTCTGGCATGCCCTGCATTGTTCAGGAATTTCCTCAGGCGAGTTACGAGAAGGTGGTGACGAAAGCAAAAATCGATAAACTCCCAACGTGACGAAAGCGAAAATCCATACCGAATGAATATGCCTCCTTTTTTTCTCTAGGTTGTGTTTTATGGATCGGTAGGTTTTTCATTATCGAACTTGTGAGTATTTAATAGTGTTACAACAAATAAATAAATCCTTTCATAAAAAAAGGCCTGATATTATATTACGGATGATTTATTGCGATTATAACAAAAGCATTTTCATTGAATAGCTTTCCATCGACAACGCTTTTAAAGACGCAACAAACTACAATGAAACAATGTGAAACTATGTATATGCAAGTAGTCACTGCAGGTTATTGTCTTACATTACATTTACGTTCCTCAAACTACTTTTCTAAATTCTTGCACTCCATGCATTTTCTGACATGTGATTTTAAATTAAACGGAAAATATTTCCTGAGGCAGCCCTCGCAACTGTTGCCTTCGGAGATGATGACCTTTGTGGCGATGAGTCTGTAACGGGGAGACTGTTATGATAATGTGAACCGTGTAGAAGTGATGGGATCCACCCCTGATTGGTGGAACATTCTGTACAACAAAACGACTTCTATCTAACAACTGAATTACTAAGAAAAGTAGAAACAAAGTCTGATTAAAAGAGTGGACGAAAATGGATTTCTAGAACAAGTGAGGTGCAGGCGTAACGATGCATCGAAAACAATTTACGTTTCGTCTTGCAATACAATTGTATGTTATAAGATAATCTTGAATTTTTATATCACATACAAAGTCATCTAACGAATAAAAACTTTGTCACCGTGGAGTTTGTCGAATTTTATTAAAACAATTTTCTTTAAATAAAACGTACGCAACAACACCTATATTGTTTGCACAGTCATCCTTTCACAACGTAGAGTCGTAAATGCAAATGAAAAAACATTTGTTACAGACATCATAAAAACAGTGAAGATTAATTGCAACACAGAATGACAAGATGATAAGTAATACAGTTACGGAATAATTCTCTAAGTTGAGAGCAACATTGAAATGTCTTACTGAAGAAAAACGATGATGAAGTAGCATATAAAGCAACGTGTATTATGAAAACGTTACTCTCGCATTCCAAAACGGAACGTCAGATGGTGAAAATTCGAATGAAACAGACCTACATTCTGACAGTGACTTTGCTCATTTCATGGCGACTCAGCACGATATTTGCTCATATTTTAAAGTTTTCTTCAAAAAGAGAAGTATAAGGACAAAAACGATCTAGTACTACATTCACTGGTTCGTTCGGAATGAAATCGAACAATCCTAGCGGATACGAAGTGAAAAAATTAGAAAAAGAAAACAGCACAGGGATTTCAAACACTTTATATCCCGTGATATTTACAAGAGCTACAAAATTGTTCAGAATTTCTCATACTAGTAACGTTGAGAAGGTTAAATCTTTTTGGTTTTGCCTCACCCCATTACGGCTGCTATCTATCAGGACCTGTGAACAACCAAAGAATTATCACGTAAGCTCCCGCCTCCCTAGAAATGCTCAGGGCAAAGAGCCCTTGCGCTTCCAGAATTTCAAGACAAAGTAGCCCTTAGATCCATCTCGGTCTCGTACAGTTACAATATATTATGTGCTCGTGGTCGCATCTTGACAAGCAAACAATTATTCTGGCTATGGGGATATAGTTCCTCATTTTCACACAGATACAGATTGCACACTGACCTCATCAGATTGCTCCCAGACATCAATTAGAGCAAGGCCTTATGAAAAGATTTATATAGCAGCGATACACGAGGGAAAGGTAAGAAACACAAGCGGAAACAGATGGTGCTGTAACAGCACATACAATAATTATTTGGAACTTCTACGGTTTTCCAAAATTCAAAGATATCGATGAAAATGAAATATGCGCAATTGGTTAAGTGTCCTTTGCTCTATCAGTGAAAAATATGGAGCTGTTTTTAACAAGAAAATTACAAAATGTACTCATAATTATTGGAAAATTCAAAATTACCTTGTTCAAGATATATTTTTAATGGACAGATTTTATTAAGAAAAAATCTTCAGCATTGTAGCTATAGGAAAAAATCAAAAATTTTAAATTTTGAAATTTCATAGAGTTTAAAGATATAAAAAATACAATCATCACTACTTTCTTTGACATTCTTTCCTTCAAATGAGAAACAAATTACAGAAAAAATGATGAGCCGTTTTTGACAAAATAATTCTATTAAAGTGTCTATATTTCATGCAAAATTACGTAAAAACCAATTATACTTTCCAAAACGTTAATACGACCTTATTTTTTTTATATCTTTGAAAAATAGTTACTGACGAAAAAATTCAGTCTTCATTATTGTAATTGTAGGGAGACCAGCCTGTAGTTGAAGTTGTTGGGGCACAATCGCATGATTTCTCATCGCACATTGTAAAGTATACATGAAATAAAGCCGAGGCGTGCGCTTGTGGTTGCAGGGGAGCTGCTGATCCTGCTGTTCGGCCTGCACCTGAGCTTCGCCGCGCGCAACGCCGCCACGCAGTTCCAGGAGCGGCGCTTCTTGTGCCTGGCCATCGCCGTGGAGGCGGCCGTCAGCGGCGCCTTCTACGCCCTGCGCGTGGCCCTGCATGCGCGCCTGCACCCCGACTACGCCTACCTCGCCCACTTCGCGCGCAGCCAGCTCACCTCCACCGCAGTGCTGCTGCTCATCTTCATGCCCAAGGTACTACTCTCTTCTCCTGCATCTTCATTCTTCCCCACGCTCTTTCGCCACTCTCCACCATAGTGCTGTTTCTCATCTTCATGCCCATGGTACCATGGTCTTCGTCTTGTTCTGTGTTTTTCTGCTCGTTCTTTTTTCGTGTATTTTTTCGATTACCTGTTTCCTTGGCTCTTTCTCAGGCTCCTTGACTACATCTGCTTTTCCCCCATTGGACAAAGCTCCAAGCAGTGCTGTTTCTCATCTTTATGTCCAAGGTAACACGTTCTTCTTCTGCTGCTGCTGTCTTCAATGACTTATTTTTCCATGCCTTTCTTTCGTATCTTCCTTCCCTTCTCTTTTTCAGTTACACCTTGACTAGGACTCTTTGTGCAACTTAGCGCCACCTACGCCACCAGGCGCAGAGCGCACTCTTCCATTGCCGTGATTCTGCTCATCTTCATGCTCAAGGATCCACGTTTGTCTTCTATCTCTACTCGTTCGTTATATTGTCTTTCTTTTGCTCCTTACCCTTATCTAGTTTTCTTTCTTATTTTTCTCATAATTCTTCTTGTATTACTTAATTTTTCTTGATGTCTTTCTCTTTCTCTTCTTTTCGGGCATCTGCGCCACTTCATTTTCAGAACTGTTTGTCAGTCTTCTACTACTGCTTTTTCTTTTCTTGTCTCTTGCCCGTTTGTATTAATATTCTTCTCTTTTTTCTTCTTCCCCTCATTTCTTATTGTATAATTTTTTCTTGATTCCTCATTCGTTTATTCTTCATCTCCTCCTCCTCCTCCTCCTCCTCCTCCTCCGCCTCCTCCTCTTCCTCTTCCTCTTCCTCTTCCTCTTCCTCTTCCTCTTCCTCTTCCTCTTCCTCTTCCTCCTCCTCCTCCACCTCCTCCTCCTCCTCAAAGGATGAGCACGTCAAGAAACTATTACACATAAATTTATACATAGAGGTTTGATATAATGCAGTAAAATGTCAGTTTTCAAACAAAATGTACTTAACCCTTTAATATAATCGTGTAATATTATTGTAATATCTCTTCACTAATGGCAGGGCACAACACTACCCTTCACTATTACAGCCGCAACATTTGAGACGGAAAAAATGCGATGTAATAATAATAATAATAATAATAATAATAATAATAATAATAATAATAATAATAATAATAATAAATAGACCTACTATCCCTGATCGGGAGCGATCCAAACCCGATTGAGAATGGTTTTGATTGTGGCATTCGCCACTCCTACTTTTGAAGCGCGCACAAAGCCTAGCTTCCGTGACCGGATGTCACGCTGGGACACAAAGTCCGTTCTGGCGCACCCAACGCTGGTTTGCCTCGATCGCAGGAGCGATCTTAACCGATTGAGAATCGCGTGAATCGTGGCACTCAACCACTCTTCACCTCGGAGCACGCACACAGCATCGCTCCCCCCGTGACCGCAGTCACCCAAGGACATAAAGTCCGCAGGCTTCGTCAACTAATGACTCCAGCCTCGCGCGAGCCTGCTCGCATATGCAGCGTCTTGGCGCCAAGTTTTGTGCACACGCACGAGGTTCTCCCACCGTCTCCAGAACCCGCCTACTGCTCCGTACACTCTGTTATATAGGCTAGGCCCACGTTTCCTACTACGTCACGCCACCCCCTCGCTTGTTATAACAGTGAAAAGCTTCTATAAGCCGGAAACACCCAAAGCCTTGTGTCTCCGTCTCCGCTTCTTCCTTTACGGAAAAACCTTCTTCCTGTGGCGAGACTAATCCGCAACCAAGCGTCCCCAAATAATGCCATGAGGCACGCTGGCTAATCGTTACATTACATCTCCATATCCATTTAGAATTTTTATGCAGGAGACATTCCACAATAAAAAAATCGTCACGCAATTAAACTCGTGAACTTGGCAGAAGCATGAACTTAACCTGTCCTATGTTTTACATTCTAGCAAAACTCCCTAGTTTACATATTATTACATATATATACACAAATTATATATAACAAAAACTAAATTCCCTAAAACTCTAATTTTACCTAACTTACATTATGTTCAACATTTTAAAATCTGCCTTACTATTTACAATTATATACAAATTTTATCTACACAGTCAATTAATTATTACACTTCGTCAATGCATTCACAACAAACTATTTTACAACACACCCTACTTTCTATGCTATCAGAGCTTCACTAGACCCCCAAAATTGTCATAACACCACAAAATACACAACATTCACAAACAATACTTTTCAAAAACAAACTTGTTACATGTATACAATAATTTCCTTTAGATTCGATACAATGCAATCAAGTGATCCAACTCAGTGTAGCCCTCCGCATTCTCAGTTCAGTTCAGTTCCAGTGTATCAATAAAACATCCTGCTTAAGGCATCTGCGTTAACGTAAATTTCCCTTCTTGTGAATAATTCAAGATTGTAGCCTGAATTAAAGGTGACCATCGCATTAATCTAGGATTTTTACTTGAGCAATTGTTCAACCATACCAATGGATTGTGGTCAGTTTCTACCTTGATTTGTGCGTTTCCGTCTAAGTAATATTTTAACTTCTGCAATGCCCAGATAATTGCCGTACACTCTAACTCGATCGTGCATCGCAAAACCTCAGTATCTGTGAATTTTCGACTTAAGTATAACACCGATTTTTCTCTTCCCCTGTCGTCGTACTGTGCCAAAATGATGCCGATCCCTCTATTTGACGCATCACACTACACGATAAAGATCCTTATTAAAAATGGGCGCGTGAAGAACGCGTTCGTGACATAGAGCGTTTCTCAATTTCTCAAATGCCACCTCGCATTGTGGCGACCATTTCACCTTGCCCTGCCGTTTGCGACCTCGCAATAAGTCCGTTAATGTGCTGAGATACTCGCATAATCGAGAATAATTTCCTGTAATACCCCGTCAGCCCGAGAAAAAGCACGTACTTGTTTTTTGTTTGGTATAGGATGCTCCTAATGTTTTCACCTTGGCTCTACTGCCCAAAATCCAATTCCAACCATGTGCGCGGGTATTGCACATTCTCCGTGTATATTTACATTTGCTCGGCTGCACATGCAACTTCGCTTTCTCTAATATTAAAAACACCTGCTCCAAATGTCTAAGGTTTCTTGCCCTGTGTCGCTATAGATTAATTTGAATAGAATGAATTTGTTACCCTCACGAATTTCGGGAAGAGTCCCACACGTATCGATATTGATTTTGCCAACTAACTTCGTTATCGACGGTACTAAACCTAACAGTGCCTTTTTGCGATCATTGGGCGTGCCTACCTTTTGACCCACATCGCAAGATTTCACATATGTCTCCATATCCTGGAAAAAACAGCCAATAAAAATATCGCCGACAAACTGGCTTTGCTCTTAGTTGCACCCTAAGTGAGCATTCGCGGTTTCATGGCACATTTCCGAAATAACTGCCCATAATTTAGTGGGAACCACTAACAAATTAAAATTTTCAACGCGCTTGCTGTGAGGACCGATACAAAATTCTGTTTTTAATGAAATACGCATCTCGCCCTGTTTTCGGTCACAGTTGCTCATACGTGTCATATAATACTTTAATCTTCCTGTCACTTTGTTGTGACACGGCGAACTCATTCTGGCTAACATTTATGAGTTCATCACTTGGGGATTCAGTACACCTGCACTTTCGGCTCCTTTCACTAATAGCTTCCTTCGGACTCCCTGATCTGTACTTTCTACCTGCTCGCTACTGAAGTTCCTGGCCGCTCGAGGCCGCCACCTCCCCTCACGCTCAACTGGCGCCGTTTCAGCGGCTTTTGACCGTGTAGTACCGCTGCAACTAATTGTGGCTCAAAAAATCCTGCCTTACTTCTTCAAAACGCGCTGTTCGAATACTTAAAGTAATATCCTCTGTCACATTCTCGAGGTACGACAGCACTTTCGTGACGACCTTTCCGAACGGTCCTTCTATCTCGACTTCTGCTACTGGGAGATTGCGAGCTGAGGCATCCAGTGGCTGCAAAATCCACACGCTTTCTCCCGTCAAATTCTTGTCGCTGATGAATTTCTCGTTTACAATATCAAACGACGCGCCTGAGTCCCTCAAAAATTCCCGGCTACACCGTTAATTCTGCCCTCACTCACGTGCGGTAAAAGCAATTCTCTAGCGTTTGACGATCACATGATTAATCCTTTCCGCCTCGCGGCGCTGCGGCATTCCGTATCATGTGGTCGACCGACCCACAACTGTAACATTTCCGCTTGTCTGGTTCTTCATAAGCGGCCCTGACATCGGTTTTCTTACCGTCTGATTTCCCCTGAATTTCAAATGCTCTGACATCGGCTTGCTCGCGCTCGCTACATGTTCGCTGCGGCTTCCGTTTCCTGTTCACTGTTTAAATGTGGACCGTTTCCAGCCTGCCTTTATTTCATAATTATTAGCTTACAGTAATTCCAGAGGTAACTTAAATTCCCCCCACTCATCATAAAATGCCCTTGATTTCGATAGCACTGAGGGCGTTTAGTTGATCCTTTACATAAATTCATTAACTCTTCAAACGTTGATGTCTAAGTCCAGCACCCCACTCTTACAATAATTTTGCAACTCCCTCGCGTTATAATTCCAGTAATATTTGCGGCTTTTACAGTTTTGTGAAACAATTGTCAAAACTTCTCGCATTGAATTTACATTTCCAAAGCTATACATTTAATTCAGCATATTCTATTCCTCCTACCCTTGCCTTCTAAGGTAAGCGACGCATTTATTCTGATGTGGGAGCAGTCCCATAGATTTGCCACCCCTCTTCTTTCGAATTTCATAATGTCGCTGACTTCGACACACTCAAGAATGCCGTTATGTCGTCGTTTTTCGCCTTAAAACACTCATAACCTGATTAATCGAATTCTGAACTTTACCACTCGATTCAGGCTGCGACTACTCTAGTCGCCTGTTCACCCTGTTCTATCTGAGTTTTTCTAATTGAACGCCGTTCGGCATCCCGTTCGCTCTTTCCTCTCGAATTCGCGTTCAGCTCTTTCGCGTCGCCTCGTTTACGTGCTCTTTCCTCTCGAATTCCGCGTTCGGGCTCTTCCGTTCTGG